TTCCCTACAGCCACTGCTGTTGAGACATATAGACCAATACCTCGAGGACATTTGTGATGCCCAGGACTGTGAGCAATTCCTGGCCCATCGGCTGCCTCGGCACTCGTCTCCTGTAAGGGAAGGGCTTACTGGTGTATCATAGGCCCTTAATAAAGACTTGCTGGATGAGTTAATTGAAGAAGGTCTAATAAATTAATGATGGGTAGGTGGATGGATGGATGGATGGATGGATGGATGGATGGATGGATGGATGGATGGATGGATGGATGGATGGATGGGCAGGCAGGTGGATGGATAAATAGTGCTTAAGAGCAGCAGCTCTGATTCCATGTTTTAAAACTGTTTCTATGGCTACAAAACTGTGGGACCTTGGAAAGCTATTTAAACTCTCTAGGACTTAGTTTCTTCCCCTAAAAAATGGCATTCATAAAAGCCCCCACCTTCATTGGGTTATTGTGAGGATTAAAGCAGATAATCTACACAACCTGATCAGAAGTTTGGCCAGCACTCAATTAGCATTAATAAACATTAGCTATTTTTATTGAAAGATTAAGTGCAAGTTATTTTGTTACAAAGAAAACCTTTAATCAGCCTAAATCATGAAAGAGCAAGACATGTACAGAATTCAACACTTTGGAATTAGTAGCCCATTGTTGGCTCTCCGGCCCTAGAGTAGTCGTGGGACACCGGTGGGTCACGAGGAGGCGTTTGAAAACACTACCTGCACCACACACAATGGGGACTCAGGAGATTTGTAATATGAGCAGATGGAGTGAACTGCATGAGCGAGAATGGGTGAGCAGATGGGAAAAAATGAAAGGGAATGAGATTGTCTAGTTCGCAACCAGGGGTGACTTTGCCCCCCAAGGGATATTTGACAATATCTGGGACAAACTGAGAGGTACTACTGGCATCTAGAGGGTAGAGGCCAAGGGTGCTGTTAAACATTCAACAATACACAGGACAGCCCCTATAAACAATTATCCAGACCAAAATATCAATAGTATAGAGCTTGAGAAACCCTGGTCTAGTTCATTGATTTAAGCTCAGCTCCTCCATATTGTGTGTGTGTGTGTGTGTGTGTGTGTGTGTGTTGGGGTAGGTCTGCCTAAAATTATCTAAGGACCACTTTGTATATGTATTATACCCTATACATCCTTAAGGGATTTATATCCCTCTCACTGCAAGAAAGATCCTGCTCTAATGAGTCAAATTGAAATTCCCCACGGGAGTCACATTTCTGAAAAACTGCAAGAGTTGCTTGTTTTCCAATATAAGGAAACCACAGTATCAGAATTTCAAATTGTTAAAGGGCCTTTTGACTTGAGAAAGTAGGAAATCACCTTATTAAAATATAATTTGGCCACGGAGTATTTTCCACATGGACTAGTTTAATACTAAAAAGATTTCCATTTTGTGAACATTCTCTTTAGCAACTTGGAGATTTTCAGTTAAGCCAGGAGAAAGATGATGATGGTTGTCCATTGGTCTCTACTGCCTCACAGCAGTCTGGGAATGTGTCTGTGGGTTAAATTTTAATCTTCGGATTAGAAAATTTTAATATCTAGCATGGAAATTCCTTCTTGCAAAACCTCCATTGCAAAATCATGGGGCTGCTGATTCAATCGAGAAACTGAGGCTTATAATGCACTAACTGAATTTCATTTCTGCTTGAATTTCTGTAGCATGGTCACCCTCCCCCACCAACACAGGACCTTGGCTTGCTTCCTGTCCTGGTACAAAGCAACCCACCCCTCACCCCCCCATTAAAACTATAGATTTAAAAATTTTGTAAAAATTTACATACAGTAAAATGCACAGATCTTAAGTGTACAGTCTGAAGACTTTTGACAGGTGCATGCTCTCTTGTTACTATCCCTCAAATCAAGACATAGATTATTTCTATCTCCCAGCACTGCCCTCCAGGCCCCTTTCTAGTCAAACCTCCCACCCTCCCCACCCAAAGCAAGTGCTCTTCGGGTTTCTAGCTCCATAAATTGGTTTTGCCGGCTCTAAAATCTCACACACACAGAATCACGTGTTATGTCTTCTGCTGCCTCACTTTTGCTCAGCGTTTACTTTGTGACATTCAGACACGTTGCTGCGTATTTCTGTTCTTTCCATTTTAATTTTTAGTGGTTTTCCACCGTATTAGAGACTATTATGAACGAAGCGGCTATAAACATTCTTGTGCGGGACGCTTTTAGCCCACGCTTTTGTTGCTGTTGGGCTTCCGCCTGGGAGCGAAGCTGCTGGGCCTTAGAGCAACGCGTGCTCACCGTGACCCTGAGCGTGGAAGCTCCCCCCGGACTCCACCCTTTTCAGCTCCTAAGATGTGCCCACTCAGCCTGAGGCCTCACACTCTTTCCCCTCCCTTCACTGGGCGCTTCCTACCCATCCTCAGGTCCTGACTCAGAAGTTACCCGTGGAGGAGCCGTCCCTGGCTTCTCCAGAGACCTGCAGGCTGTGCCTGCGAGGAGCCCCCATAAGACCCTTATCAGGGGCCGCTTCTCACCGCCGTCTTCCTCCCAGCCTCCAACGCCCACGGGCTAAACAGGACGTCTGTGTGGCCCACAGCTAACGCCGCCTGCTTCAGGTATGGCCAGCACCAGCCTCAGGCGTGCTGAGCGCCGTTAACGCCTGTTGGATGGATGGCCGGATGGACAGATGGGGGATGAAGAGTCTGGGGATATACAGGCTGTCCCCCAAAAATGTTTCTACACTTTAACAGCTGATAGCTCAATTTTAAAAATGAAATGGATTTTAATAAACGCTGCCTTACTTTTTGGGGACACCCTATATCAGTCAGTCCAGTGGCTTTCAAGCTGTCCTCTGTGAGAGTCTCACGGCTCCCCCACCCCCTCAGGGATCACTGGGATAGGGGGGACCGAAGGGGCTGGGGACCAAGACCCCTCAACCAGGTTCAAGAGCAAAGGGCTTTATTTTTTTAATGTTTTTATTGATTTTGAGATAAAAATCTATGACATGTAGGCCCAGAACTACTTGTCCGAAGTTGTGAGCAAATGAATGATTCAAGTAAGGTTCCACCCCCTCTGCAGTGAGCTGGCAGATGGCAGCGCTTACCGTCCCTTCGCCACGCTCTTCCAAGTAATTGTCTTCACTTGTTTCCTAGATGAAGGTCTGGTTCAAAACAAGCCTGAACTCGGGAGCCAGGGTCCGTGCGTGGCTCTTCCTGCTCCCACCTGCCTGACGCACACGTGCTCAGGGAGCTGTTACTTCTGACTGTCCCGGTGCGCGAGCCCCTGCCTTCCAAGGCGCTGACTGTCAGAACCGGACAAGCCTGCCCATACCCCGAAGCCACAGGCTCCGTTAATTTGCTTTCAAAAGACAAATTGTAATTGATAAAAGGTTTAGTTTTCCAAACTAGTCCCTTCAGGGGCATCACATACAATGAATTTCAGAATTGGGGAGATTCAGTTATTTGAGAGCATATGATCTAAGCAGCTTCCAAATGAAGATCAATAAGACGACGCAGAGCACGGCCATTGCCCTGGGTGCGAGGGGGCGTCAGTGGGACAGCAGACTTCAACATGCGCCCACGTGTCTACCGCTCTCCTGTGGATGGAGGTGTCTGTGGACCCCGCAACCCAGATAAGATGGGAAGGTGGAAGCGAGCAAGGTCTGTGTGTGTTCCCACAGGTGCCCCACCAACCATGTCCACACTTTGTTATTAGCTCACTGCCAAACGCTTAGGCTAAAAATATTAATGCTTTGCCCTGTGTCATTTAATCATCAGAGAGTGGGTGTATAGCGATGTCATTTGTAGGCTCAGGAACAGATGTTTTGAGAGAAGTGAGGGAAGGAAAAGCGTCTTAAGTACTTTTTGCCTAAAACCCTCCCCCCCACCTGATTCCAGGCCCCTCTTGGCCTTGCCAAATGTTGCCAGGTGAAGATAAAATTATTTTAATGACCCTGGGACTTCAGCACAGAATTTAGATGCAAAACATAATTAAGCCCAGGCTGGCTCTAAGCTGCCTTGAGGTTTCTAAGGACCCAGAGATATTTGCTGAGCAGTTTCATTTCAGGGGCGCAGGAGGGCAGCATGTAAGACATTTCTCGAGGCCACAGTGCCCTGCACATCACACCTAGAAGCTTTTCTGATGTCAGTGAACCTCACGACTCCCACATGCTGCATCTCACTGGCAAATTCTGTTGCAAAAGTTAAGATGAAAACTTGCGGGGTTTTTTTCCATCTTACGAGAAGGTAGGGATGGTTCACGGATAACTAGGAGGTTGGAGGGTTCCAGAAGGCCCAGGGAAGGGCTCTGGCAGCCACAGGAATGTTCTCCTTGGAACATTTAAAGTGTGAAAAACGGGGTGGTTTAATGACAATATCAAATCCAAAATGTTTTATATCTTTTTTTATATCTCAAATTTTTAAAATTGTAGGAATTGTGTTTTAATGAAACATGAGCAATACTCATAACTGAACAAAGTTCTGGTAAATTAAGTATTCCATCTGCATTACAGTTTACATGTAAGTTTCGGATGGATCACGTTTAGGATATACTACAGTTGTGATTTTCATGTTATATGTTTGCATGTGCACAGTAGGTAACCCACCATGTCCTCCTGTGTAACTGGGGTGCATTTATACCTATTTTGTAGAGGTGGTTAAGGGGGGGTATTTTCAAAGTGTAGTGGGAAATATTGAAATGGAAATCTGGGCAATATTTACCTTATTTCTATTAACTAACAGTACTCAAGTTCCACACACTAGTTTGCTCATTAAGTTAGTAACCCATTAGCGAGAGCCTCCTATATTCCGTGTACAAATGAGGGGTGTTTGCGAAGGTCTCCCCGCAGCCCGCTGGCGTGGAGAATCTCGCCGTGGCACGCCTCTGGAGGACTGTCACTGTTGTATTTTTATTTGTACAGAGCGCCACCTGACTCACGATCATGACAGTGTTCTTTACTGAGAACTGGAGCCCCTGAAACTGTGTGTTTTACGTCATTTTAAAAGAAAGAGAGACAAGGGCTTCCTTGACTTGGTAACATTTATTCAATATTCTTTGAAATTAGCAAGAATCAGAAGAAGCACATACCAGTCAGATACAGCCACGAAAATGCCCCGGATATAAATAAAGATGCACTATGAGAAACACTGGCTACGGCAGGGCCGGGGCCCTCCCTCCCGAACTACCCCTTAGCAACGGACAGCTCCAACGCAAAGCTCACTTACATTGAAAAGACCTTGACTTTGAACAAACTACAGATCCCACTCGATCTCAGTTTGCCTCACTAGGCCCTTCCACGACCTACGTTTCCAAGGCCTAGCTTGATGACTGTTACGAAAACGACCAGAAACAAACTCAAAAGGACGTTTCCGCGAGGTTCAACCAAACGGTGCAGAAAGAAGTCACTACCCATGCACGGAATGAGGCGAAGCAATTCGCCCGGGTTAGGAAGAGTAAAGGTAACTAGTTTCTTTTTCACAAAACAACAGTTCAGACTTCTTTTTAAGTCACGGGCATACTGTACTACGTGTCATACTCTACGTGTTTCCTAACTACTCAGAGAGCCGGCACTCGCACGCCAACTAGAAACTTCTCGATGAGACTATTTCTGTGACAACCGCAGAAGTGAGTCTGGGTGTCGCGACAGGGTCTACCGTGGAAAGACCACACGCCACTCGAAGCACAGGGTCTAGAGAGCTGAAAGTACATGGAGACGTAGTCTATGGACTTCTCAAATTCAGTTTTTAAAATACGTGTCTCAAACTAAAAGCTGCAGAAAATTAGTTCTTAAATATCCTACCGAAAACTCTTGAGCAGCTATCATTTTAAATTTCTTAAGCTTTTTATTTTCTTAAAAATATTTAAATGAGTGTAGTATCCCATCTTTTTTGAAAAATAATCCAAAAAATGATTACAAATCTTTTGTTTTAATCAGTGTGACCAAAGGCTTGTCATCGGGGCTGTAATCCTCGTAGGCGATGGGGGTCACGTCGTACATCGCGGGCCGGGATTTCTTTCCAAACCTGAAATCGGGGAGAGAGGACTCTAGTTAGATTGACATTGGATCTCAGGGCCTACTCAAGGCAAATGGTAGGAATAACATATTAAAACTATCCTAACAAGTATATCCTCTAGTAAGTACAGAAGTTTAAGACTTCCTCGTAGTAATACTGAGTAAAAATATTAGTCTTCAGTGCAGGAGGCAAGAAATGGATTTCACAAAATGCAAGAGTCCAAATGAATGTTGAAGCCTGTAGGTTAAATCTTGGCAAAGCAGCCAGCCGTGACAGCTCTACAATAGGATTTTAAAGAACGAATATTGATTTGTCTTTTCCTTCTGAGGCCCATAAGGATGAGGAGAGGAGTTTACTTTAATTCGTTCTGGCACCTGGAATGCGCAGTGGTGGGGTGGGGTGGGGTGGTCTTTCCTGGACCCTGGACAGACAGACTGTCGCGGGGGACAAGCAGGAGGGCTGCGAAGGCTCGGCAGTCTCCTGAGGTCCCAAGACACGGAGAAGGGACGAGAGGGGAAATGACTTCGAAAAAGGTGTTTGTCCACAGAATGTGCCATCCAGTCCCACCCACCTATCACTCCCCAACACCCATGTTCCTCTCTGAGCACAAAGTCATTGTCCCAACAGATCTGTGTGCTTCTGAGTCTCCCTGACAGCAGCTGATGGGCAGCAGCCATGGGTATCAAACTCCACTTTCAGGACTTGCTGAAAAACCAGTGTCGAGATGGTGATTATTACAATACAGCCAATTCAACTCCTGGGTGGCCTCTTCAATTCAAGACTCACCTTCCCCCAAATCCCCTGGAGTCAGGAGGATTCACACGCCCTTCCACGTGAACCCACCACCCCTCCTGCCTGTTACAGACAACATGGTTTAACTGTCTCAAGTCCAGTGGGGCCCATTAGAAAAGAAATTTTAAAAGAAGCTAATATTTTAAAAAGGTTGCCCGGATAAGCACCCTAGGACATCAAGGGGCTTATTTCAGCATGGCTTACGTGTCATCTGCCCCCTTTCCTATTTCTTTGATATCTTGAAAAGTCTGCCTTCTCACGTATAGAGAAGAATAGAATCGAGTGGGAAATGAGAAGCGTTGCATTTTTCACATGATCTTTTACTTTTAAATATTCTTCCATCTCATATTCACATTCACTCAGGATTTACTGGCCTCCAGGAGCACAGAGGCATAAACCATGGCAGATGGGCGCCAGGCAAATGCAGAGATAAAGAGCTAAGCATGCTACCACCGAGAAGCCACAGCTATCACTGCAGCATTAGAAAGGCTTCGATAAAATCGTGCCTAAACTGCTAAGCCTCGCGAAGGCCCGGGGCTGTGCGCATAAACGCACCCAGCCTGCGGTCCGCATGCCTGAGCTGAGTGAGGCCTGCGTAGTCTGAGGCTCGGAAAGGGGCACCAGCGCAAAAGCCAACTGGGTCTCAACGCTTTTTCCCCACGTCTGAAAATTTCAGGAGGACTTTAAGATGAGATATCCATTTCTCATAAAATAGCTAGGTACATTGGTAACAATACACTACCAATCGTGTTCATTTAATTAATTTTAATCATATATAAATTTTTTGAAGCTACAGAAAAGTATAGTGTAGGCCAAGGGTTAGCACACTACAGCCTGCAAGCCCACTGCAGCCTGTTGCCTGTTTTTTAAATAGAGTTTTACTGGAACACAGTTGTGTCCCTCCGTAATGCCTCTGCCCTACAAAGGCAGAGCTGAGCAGGCACGGAGACTGGACAGCCCACAGGGTGGAACATTTCGCAGCCCTAGGTGAAGACCACAGCCCCTCCCTCCATGGACTTAGAGTTCTGGCCATGTTNCAGGGTGGAACATTTCGCAGCCCTAGGTGAAGACCACAGCCCCTCCCTCCGTGGACTTAGCAGAGTTCTGGCCATGTCAACCATGGTGGATTAGTTTCAAACTTCGTATCTAATGACAAATCTCGTATATTTCACTAAAAAAAATTAAAAATAAAAAAATACTGCAACGAGCTATAAGGCAGATCACAGAGCTCACACCTTCTAGTTCATATTCCCCTGAAAGTCAACAGCTAACAGCTAAAAGTGCCACAGAGAATGACTCTGTGGCGGGCCTGACCTTAGAAAAGGCCCGCATCAGGAGATGCTGTTTGAGAAAAGGGACCGTGTCCTTTCACAGCTCTCCTTTTGTTTGTTTGTTTGTTTGTTTGTTTTCTGGGATCAGGCACTCACAGCTGGCAGAGCAGGGAGCAATCAGGTGTGACCTCAGCTCCATCGCTCCCGCCAGCCAGTTACAAACTCTCTCCAACCTGAATGCAAGCAAACAGCCACGGGACTAACGACTCTTAGGACAACCCAGCACCGGCTGACTTGCTGACGTCACAGTCACCCCACCCTTCCTCAGTCACGCGTGAATGTCACAGATGACCCACTCCGTCTCCGTCCTGCGTGTCTGCCAAGCTGCCGTCATTCTGATCCAGGGTCACCCCCCGGCCAGCAGCGGGAGACAGGCGGTGAAATGAACGTCAGGCACAGGCCGCTGCCGGAACTGGGAAGAGGGTCATATCCTAAGTGCTGCTTCCTCACGCCTCCCCAAGGTCTCCAGGAAAAGGGGGCCAAGAGGGCCGCCACCCAGAGACCTAGAAACCACAGGTTGTAACTGAATAAACCTTCAGAGGGGAACATTCCCAGATATGTGGGAAGGTATGTTTCAACTTCAACCGTTTTATCCGCAGTCACTGGTGCGTGTAGGAGCTTGCTGGTTAGGAATCCCGTGGTAAATACTTTTGATAAAATCGGCACCAAATAAGAACCAGGCTTGTAACTGCTTTCAAGCTTATCCTTTCCTTCCAAGAGGATTCGGTAAATATCTTCCCAGTGAGCTATACAAGCAGGAAGCCCAGAAGGATCTATTTTAAGCTATTCTGAGGCTGAAATAAAATATTCTTTCTCTTGAATGCAAAAGGATCTTACTTAGCTCCAGACCCTCTTGGGGTGGAAGAATCCGATTTCTCGGGTCTCCCAGTATATCCCAGTATAAAGTCGTGGCTCCTGCTCCCTCCTGGTGAACTAAACCCCTCTGGGAACTCTTGAACAACAAACGAATTTGTCTCTTTGCCTCTCCTTTTCGCATCCTCGGTCTCTCATCCACTGATCTCAGGACACTGCAAAGACACCTGCAGGCTGGTACCTCACTCACCAAGCTGGTGTTCTGGGTTGAGTCTCCGTCTCGGGCAGATGCAGACATTCTCCATTAACCGCTAACCAAGCTCGCCCAGCCATTTCAGACCTAAGTTTAGCAAGACCTCCAATTTTAGTAAGGTCTGCTATGTGCCAGGGCCCACCGGAGATGAATAAAAAATGCCCCTGCTCTTCAAGCACGGGCTAGTGGGAACGTTAGTCAAATAAACAATTAAGATGAGATTTGCAGGGATGGGCTCAGGGCTTCCTGGAAGCCGTGTTGCTGAGCTGACACTTAAAGGAAGGAGCCGATGATGGGCAGCTGTGTAGGGCCTGATTTGGGGAGGGTTGAACTCTTTCTTCCTCCTAGTTGCAGGAGTAAGGCTCGTGCAGGTCCCACAGAAAAGCTGCCCTTGCCCCACCACGGCATGGGGCCAGAGCTCTGTGCCCCCCAACTTCTCTCTTCCACTGGAGTGGCAAGACTGCTGTAAGATCTGAGTGTTGGGTTTGGTGGTTTCCTTTTGAGGAAAGTAAACTTTCTGAACTTCTGAGTTTCTGCACCATTTAGACAGAATCTGGATCTGCTTGTATCCTGACCCATATCAATATACAATGACCCAGTGAATGCAGCTGAGAGTTCCCTTGAGCCGCATCTTAAGACACCAAGCTCAGCCCACTTCTTACTGCAGCAGGCTGACTTTCTGAATTGTGTGCTTTAGCTTGTTTTGCCAATTAAAAGAAAAGATGGTGTTCTTTAACACAGGATGTCGCCATTACTTTTTAAATAAATACTCTTTGCAAAAGTCAACAAAATGTTAGATTAGCTGATTTTTTTTTTTTTTTAGTGTTATGATAGACTTGGAGAAGTAAATATGGTGTTATCTGTTTACACAATCCTTTATTATTTGTAAATTAATTTGATTGTCATAACTCTCTTAGGAGGTAGAGCTATTCCTTTTCTACAGTTGAAGGAACTGTATTGTGAAAGGTTAAATGATCTAAAATCCAGAGTAAGGTAATGGAGTAGCTGGGCTCAGTGAAGTACCTGAGACACCTGGACTCACACTCTGTGATGCCACACCAACTCCTTGTCCCTCTATGCGTCTTTCCTCCAAAAAAGGACCCTGTTTTATATAATACAACCTCCATTTTTTAAAACATTTTTCTTATTTTTCAATTACATCTGACATACGTTATATTAGTTTCAGGTGTACAACCCAATGATTGGACACCATATAACTTATTAAGTGATCATTCCAATAAATCTAGTATCCATCTGGGCACCAGAGTTATTACAATGTTATTGACTATATTCCTATGCTGTACTTTGCATCCCCATGACTGTACCAACCAATTAGTACTTCAAAACCCCTTCATCTTTTTCACCCATCTCCCAAACACCCTCCCGTCTAGCAACTGTCAAAATGTTCTCTATATCTGAGTCTGTGTCCTGTTCTGCTTGTGTATTTTGTTTAGATTCAATTGCTGATAGATGTTTTTATTGCCATTTTATTATTCATATTTTTATCTTTTTTTCTTCTTTTTTTCAAAGACAACCTTTAACATTTTATGTAATACTGTTTCGTGGTGATGAACTCTTTTAGCTCGTTCTTGTCTGGGAAACTCTTTATGTGTCCTTCAGTTCTAAATGATAGCTTTGCTGGGTAATCTTGGCAGTGGGGCCTTGCTTTTCATCACTTTGAGTACTTCTTGCCACTCCCTTCTGGTCTGCACAGTTTCTGTTGAGAAATCTGCTGACAGTCTTATGGGAGCTCCTTTGTAGGTAACTAACTACTTCCCTCTTGCTGCTTTAAAGATTCTCTCATTATGATGTGCTTGGTGTGGGCCTCTTTGGGTTCATCTTGTCTGTGACTCTCTGTGCTTCCTTCACCAGGCAAGGAAAGTTTTCCATCATTATTTTTTCACACAGGTTTCCCAGCAGCCAAATGATAANTATGATGTGCTTGGTGTGGGCCTCTTTGGGTTCATCTTGTCTGTGACTCTGTGCTTCCTTCACCAGGCAAGGAAAGTTTTCCATCATTTTTTCACACAGGTTTCCCAGCAGCCAAATGATAGCTGTTAGTCATTTTTAAAGTAATCAAATGGAATAATTTATATCTACGCTTACTGTTTGGAGAGCAGCAACAGCTAAAGGCATTCCAAAAAGAAATCATCTAAAAATGTTTCAAACACAGTGATTAAGAATCAGATATTTATAGCACAGATAAACACAAATTGAATGAATGAATGTATCCAATGAAAACAGAAAGCTAGCAGCCAATTAAAAGGGCTTTGCTTATAAAGCAGCCTCATTATCTGTCCCCCAACAACATCCAATAGGTTCAACAGTACCTTGAACCTAGGTTTTATTCTGTGACACCCTCTTTGTGGATGTAAAGTCCTGTTCACAACGTAACCCCGGTCCTGAGACTGCCCGTGTGGAAGCCATGGGAAAGCAGCCGTCCTCGCCCGGCCCCCAGCCCCCGGGCGGCCCACCTGGCGTGCCGGATGGAGGCGATGGCGTTGCTGAACTCGCTGTCGATGCTGCGGCAGTTGTAGAACTCCTCGTAGGCCGGCCTGGAGGAGCCCTGGTACTCGATGCGGCTGATGCGGCAAATCCCCACAATCAGGATGATCAGCATCAGGATGAAGGCGACGCACAGGGCTCCGATGATGATGTAGAGGGAGTGCCGGGGCATGTTGGTGAGGCTCTCTGCCATGTGCCCGGACTTCCACTGGAGGTCTAAAGGCAGAAACAAGCAAATGGCTGGAAACCAGCTGTGGCAGTTGCGATGGGAAGGTCCTTCCTGTCCTTGCATAGGTAACTTAAAATGTAAGGGCCATCGACACTGAGGAGGCTTCTTTTCCACGGCTAATATCCTTAATATATAAGGACCTCTTACAGATCAAGAAAAACCATGACTATGCCATAGAAAAATGGACTAAGGATATAAAAGGAATTCACCAAAGAAATACATATAGAAAATTATTTAGCTTCATATTTTTTTAAATGCAACTCCTCTCTCAGTTCCTGAACATTATTTAAAATTTTTGATAACCACAGTTGAAAAGAGTACAGAAGCGGGGCTGCACAAATTGATACACAATTCTTATGTGGACTAAAGGGTGTATTTTTGTACACAAAAGATCCAACTTTTAGAATTTATGCTGGGGAATTGGTCCCATAAGAGCACAAAGCCCTGTGTACAAGGATATTCATCTCAGCATCGTAATTTTAAAATGTTAAATTATCAACTATTAAACATTTAGAAAAACATTCAGAAAATAGGCCCAGAAACCCATGTACTCACCAAAGTTAATAAATGTTCATATTTTACCATTTTTGCTTTAGCATTTTGTTTCAAGTGTGTGTTTTTTTAAGAAATAAAATGTTAGATATAGCTAGAGTCCCCATTTCCATTCTCTCTCTTCATTCCACAACAGACAACACAATCTATAAAAGTAAAAAGGTTGGCTGCCCTGGCAGGTGTGGCTCAGTTGGTTAGAGCATCATCTTGTATACCTAAAGGCAGTGGGTTCGATTCCTGGTCAGGACCCTTGCAGGAGGCAATCTATCAATGTTGCATCTCTCACATCCATGTCTCTATCTCTCTCAAAAATCAATTTCAAAAAAATAAAACGGTGGGAAACAACCTAACTATTCAGCTCTTAGTGTGATGAAGAGATGCTCATCAGACAGAATTAACGAAGGTTACCAAGAAGGACTGGATGTATAGCACAAGCGCATGTAAGTTTAAAACGTCTGTCTACACACTGAAAAGCTCAGAAGAACAGAGCGATAATGAGGGTGAACATTTGTTGTTTTCTTACTATGGACTAAGCTCTTCGCAAACATTACATTTAATCATCATAACCACCAGGAGACGTATCTCCTCCCTCCCCTTTATAGACGTGGCCCAGGAAACTGATGTCACTTCCTGGGCGAGTTGTCAAATGCAAGTCTTTTTTTTTTTTTTTTTTTTTAATATATATCTTTATTGATTTCAGAGAGAGGAAGGGAGAGGGAGAGATAGAGAAACATCAATGATGAGAGTCATTGAACAGCTGCCTCCTGTACGCCCCTAACTGGGAATCGAACTGCGATCTCCTGGATCCTAGGTCGATGCTCAACCACTGAGCCACGCCCGGCCGGGCTCAAATGCAAGTCTCAATCCAAGTTCCTGGCCTCTTCTCATGCAGCAATGTGCTAACAACAGTGATCTCGAATGATTTTTATTTCCTTCTTTATACACCTCAGGCATTCTCCAGCTTTTAAAAAAAAAAAAAAAAATGTATTCCTTTTATAATAATTTTAAAAGGAGCAATAATTTTTTTGAAAAAAAGCACCCATGTTATTATCTTCCAGCTTAACTAGTAGAAGGAGTGTGGCCTTGGGATCACACCAAACTTGTTTTCAATCCTGCAACATTTACTTGACCTCCCGAGCCTCAGTTTCTTCATTTATAAGATGAAAATAGCAACATATACCCCATGGGCTTGCTGTGAGCATAAGTCATAAAACATTTAAAAAAAAAAAGAAAGTCCACTACCAGGCACATGGGTGGTCCCTACAGAGGAGCTCCTGGGTGGTGGAACACAGAAGGATAAAGTGCTAGTGCCCTCTGTGGCACATGCCGAGCTGAGCACTGTCCTGTGCCCTTCCAAAAAGCACCAGCCTGTATGCGCAGGGGCAAAATGGAAGAATGGATTGCAATCTCGGTGTCAGCAGAAGTCCTGTTTACAGACCTGCCCACTAATGGAGTGCTCTGGGTAACACGACCAGGATTGGAAAGCAAGCTGTGAAAATTAAAAAGGCAAGACCAAAGAGAAGTTACGCATGTGGAAGAGAGGATGCCTTCTCTGCTCACACCATCACCACTTCCACGTTAGGACTCTGGTCCCTGAAAATAGGCTTTAGGGGTGGGTGGGAACGGGCCTGCCTTCCTGGGAAGCCCTCAGGACTCCTCTCACTGTTGTACTCATAGCCTCATCTTAGCAACATTTTCAGTGACCACGGAATCTTCCCCTTGGAAAGTTACAGCCTGCAGAAGAGCACAAGGACCCAAGCCCGCAGACCCCTTTCCTAGAAGCCTGATGGAACCATGCCCAAGCCCGGATGGGGCCTGAGAGTTTGAGAACAGGATAGCTAAAGTGACCACTGAGTCTGCACCCAGATCTTCTAACGCGTGAGCTTTCCATCACACGCATGCTGGAAGTCTAGTGTAGCCATTTGAGCCTGCCCGCCTGAGCTCACAAAGCCCATGCAGCTTAGGACTTTGCAGTCACAGCTCCTTCTATGCCAACTCACACACAGGCGGGTGGACCAACAGAAATCACCGCAAACAACTGGCCGGGATGGAAGAGAGAAGGTGTTTTATGAAACCAGAACCAAGACTCAATCCCCAAATCGGCAGTCATTGCATTTGGCATTACCTGGGGCACACTGAGCGAGACAACTCATTTTTCTGGCTGGAAGAGAAGTGTGACTCACTTGATTTCCAAGTATTTTGACATTCTCTGAAAAATTCAGTTGTAGGCTGGAGCCCAACACTCACAGAATCTGCTCTAACACCCGTTTAGCATCAACACAAAGGCAGCCAGCACCGTTTTCTGCTCCAGCTTGGTGGAGGGCTCAGCTCCGATTGCTGCAGCAGGGCCACACGAGTTATGAAATCTTATGGCTGATGCATAACCACACAAATAGCTTACACATCATACTAACTGCGAACACACAGGGAGTGCACAACCACAAGGCCACTGCAGCGGAAGGGCAACTGCACTGGTTATGTGCTCGGCAAGCTGTCCCGGGCCCGATGAGCTGCCTAAACGGCTTGTGTTTCTGACCAGCTGCTCCGTTTCCCAAAACTCTGTGTTCCAAGCTGATTGGACTTTGGGGAAAACTTTCTCAAATTTTCTCCTAAAACCTCTGCTTCCCCCCTGCCCCGCCCTTTGCTTTTCCCACCTACCTTCATCTAAAGATAAGTGAATGTGGCTGCTTTACATGCTCATCGCTCATCGGGTTAGTGGCCAGGCTGGGCTGGAAGAAATCCAGCGCTTGGTCCGAGAGGCAATACATTCATCTGCACAGGTGGCCGCAGCTGCCGCCTCCCGGCCCAGGAGCACGCCTCTAAGTCATCGCTCGGCCACATCCTGGGAGTCCCACTGCATGAATCACTCGCTGTAACGGCTGCAGCGGGGCTGGGGGAGAGTCTCGCGCCAGCACATGCTGGATAGGATGATCTCAGAGCCCAGCAGGTGCCTGACCAGGAACGCATGCACACGAACCGTTCGGGAAAGATGTCACGCTTACGGGTCTGAGGGATCATGTGCGTTTTGGCTTAAACTCAATTTGAGATTTCATATTTTCCAAAGTGCTTTCATATTTACTTGAATGCATAAATCCAAGATAGCCTATTCTCCTATTTCTTACCTGCAGAACATCAGTAATTCAATAGTTTGACCACAGATTCAACTGTTCAGTGTCTATAATCGGCCAACTGACTGACTGGAACTCTAACTGTAGGAACCTTCCAGCTCCTACACAGATGATACAAACCACCACTAGGTAAAAATTTATAGGAATTTTGATTTTTAGACCTTGATTGTAGAAAGGCAAAAATTTTATTAAAATCCAAAATAAAGTATTGTAGTCAGTCCCAAGGTTGTAAAAATGAGTGGCAGAGAATTAAAATTTCACCAGTGTTGGTTGTTAGTTTCCAGAATTTAGGATTTGCTTTTGCCTCAGAATATGTGTACAACCCCAGAATTACCTGAATGGTCCTTCTGGGGTAGTTTTGCTAAGTCTGTATGGTCTGCTTGATTTCTGCTTCTTATTACTGATGGGGGCCAGACAGCATTTCTGATGGGGCAAATTTCTAAGAAACATTTATTACTAGTCTGAACACCGGCACAGGTAGCCACGCAAACGGAACCACTAAAATGGTATTAATTTGCATGTAAATCCTACTGAGGCAGCAGGCTCTCTAGTGACGGCTGCCGAAAAGGTTGATTTATTTTCACGTGCAGTGCCCCTCACTGGAGGTCTCAGCTTTCCGAACCTGCAAGAACTCAAGCTGAGATCTGGATGCTGAGAAGACGGCTGTGCTAAAACCCACAGGAGGAGAGCTCTGGGCAGAAGGCACAGCAGAGGCACAGACCCTGAGGCAGAAATAAACGACCTGTTCAAGGAAAAAAAAGCAGGACCGTGCGGCTGAGGCAGTGTGAGCAAGAAAGGGAGGTGGCCGAGATGGCCTCCGGAGGCAGCAGGCACGCCCGTGGGGGCTCCTTTACTGCCTTTGACAAATCAATAGCCATCAAGGCTACGGAGCTGTGTGGGCCTCGGCTCCCTCTCTGCTCTGTGCACATCTGAGCTTTCCTGTTGAAATCTACCTCCCTGAACTTGTACCCCCCAGGCACCCTCTTCTTGGTTTCTGGCCACTTCAGAAGCTCGCAGATGCTCAGAGTTAGAAAGAGACCTCTGTGGGCCCGTGGATCACACAGGACTGGAGGCCTCTTAGACCTTCCCTGCCCACTGACAAGCCAGGCTGTTTGCACTCCTGGTCCTTGGATTCCTTCTATTTGATTCAGATCCAACTCTTTAGACACTGACCACTGGCTCCAGCTACATGTCATCACAAACCTCCCACGCATGTTCTCCATCATTACACTCGGGTCAAGGGTGAAGCACCCAACACTGGGACCCACAGAGCCTAATCTATGACGACGTTCATTTTAACACATTGGCTTAATGGGGAGTGCAAATGAGATCACCAAATGGAAAGCACTCTTCCAGACAGAGAGCCCAAGTGTGGACCAACACGTGTGATAGGCCCCGTCGCCCTCGGCTGCCCAGGGTGGCCCATGCCCCGTGTGTGCATCGACTAAAAAGGTAATTGCAAAGGTTCATCCGCTCCAGGAGTAGCTCATAGCATAAGAGCTACAATAGTGTAGAAGTAAAGAGAAGGGGCAGCTAGCATTTATTTAGTGCCTACGGCAGAGCAGAAATATGCACATATTTGCCTCCTTTACTCCTTATAGCAGCCTTTCTATCACCATTTTACAAGTGAGAAAACTGAGGCTCCACGAGGTACAGGTCACACAGCTAGAATGTGATGGAGCTAGAACCTGAAGCCTCTTTGATCCTTTTATTAGTTGTGCATGTTTTGCCTCTACTATCATCACAGGGAGGAAGTAAAATTTAGATTTTTTTGTAATTATAGGATTTTTCTTCCAAACTTCTTGAGGGCATCCTGTGTGTTCCTGAACTTCTTACTCAACTCTATGTGTTTATCTTTACAATTAAAAATTTTATAGAATTACCAAATTTCATAGAATTACCAAATTGGTCCCATTTCATGGATGAGTACACTGAGGCTCAACACAACTACGTACAGCTACATGAGCACCACGGCCAGGGTGAGAAGCAAGGTCCTGCTGACCCAGGTCTGCAGTCCCTCCCACCAAAGGCCCGCCAAGGCTGGACTTAATGTCCTACCCAACTTGGGTCTTAATGTCCTACCCAAATCACAGCACTCGGCATTTTTACTATCGGAACCCCTTTCCGCCTCTTTCTTTCACCACGAGAGTATTTCTCACCCATCTTCAGCAAGGACAGTTGGTCTTAAGGTCATTCTGTTTAGGAGCATTTGAGAATGTTGAGGGAGAGGCCTAAAAATGATTAACCTTCTTTCCCTCCCCCGCTCTGAGCCAGGAGCAAAGACAAAGAATGAGAAGGTAAGAGCCCAAATGGCACCTTCGCTGCTGGTCAAGATGCCACTGGAGAACGTGGCCCGCACTTGTGAACAAGGTTCCCCAACACTGACCACGTCCTACCTCGGACTTGCACTGAGCACTGGCCACCCAGCCGCAGGCAGAAGGGCCTGCTCTGGAGGGAGATGCCAGGCGGGGAGACAGACCGACAGACGGAGCTGTGAGTGCCTGCCCCTTCCGACCTCAAGGCAGATGCGCTCCTCTGCCTACTGATGAGCAGGGAGGGCGCGGAGGCCCCAGGAGTGGCTTTCCAGAAAGATCCAACTGCCCAGGCTAATTGCAAGAAGAAGAAAGAAGCTTTCAAAGTTGAATTTTTAGCAGTTTACACACCAATGGCATCCCCAATTCCTTGTCAGTTCTCATTTTCACCTCAATCCTAGCAGACATGCTATTTTAATGTGTAAAATCTTGACGGTGACATTTTCAAACTTCTGTTCGTTCGTCTTCAGAGTACACTTAGCTCTAAGCGGCTCAAAATGTTTTGCAGATTTTCTTTCCCGCTCCTCCTCACTGGACCTTTCTCCAGGCATCTGATGGAACCTAATATGTTTGAAGACACTTGAAGACATAAATGCAAAGTGAATTTGCATTTGGTGGGGCTTTTCCATTTCCAACACAGAGCCTCTATTTTGTGCTCTGACTCTAACGCGTCGCTGCTGAGCGCATTTTTGGCCGCGGAGCAGCGCTGACCTCTGGATGACACTGTGCGCTCCCATCCCGGGGAAAGGCTGCCACCAGGCTCAGGAAGGAGTGGGCGCGGCAGAGGGCGGGAGCGACAGCCGACAGACATCGACGGGGCGGGGGCACGGCGGCTTGGCGGAGCCCCCTGGGCCTCGCCGCCTCTGAGAGTGGCCCGGAGCTGGCTGAGCAGGGTCAGCCTCCCCTCCCTGGTGGATGGACACGGGGGTTAAACAGGCAGAAAGACTCACGGATTTCACAGTTCGCTCCCACCCAGCCGTGCGGGCAGTGGCAGGCGTAACCGTTGGGCTGGTCCAGGCAGGTGCCGGCGTGATGGCAGGGGTTGCTGTCACATTCGTTTATGTCGATGTCGCACTCCTCGCCTAAGGGGATAAGAAGCAGCGGTGTTGAGACGGAGCTGCGTCAGCGGCTCTGCCACCCGTCGCTACCCTGGCAAAGCCAAGATCCGAGCCTGGGGTCCCGATCTCCAGCCACGGAGCCCAGCTGCCATTTGTATAAAGTGCAGAGCTCTCCCAAAATTCCAGACAGGGGATCTTTTTCTTAAATAAAACTAAAATAGGAAAAAAATATATCCCTGGTAAAAAAGAATTTCCTTTACTCTATTGAACCAGTTAACTAAAGCTGATTCACCTGCCTGAACGAACCTTCCGAAGTTTATCGGGAAAACAAATTTGGGTTCCTCATTTCATCAAAGAACTCTACTTTGTGTTGTAGTCAGTCAGCTGAATCTTCTTATTTTTCTGAAACTCCTGATAGCTGAACACTCCCAGTTTATGATATTTTTGTAGCCAAGTGTTTGAGTGTGAGTCATGACATCTATTTTCTGGATACTTCTAGGTCACAGCTGTGTGGCTAGATTAGTCAATTATAAAACTTGACTCCACTTTCCAAGTTCCTGGATACGCTCCTGAGAGGGCCTGAATGCTCAGGGAAGGCAGCGGGCCACACTGACCTAAGTCGGACATAATCTTCCCTGGGAAAGGGTGGCCGAGAGAAGTTCACGTCCAGTGCAGACTGTCCTTCCTCCGTAATGAAAACTGTGACCTGGAGTCCCGACCCTGCCTGGACCTGACATTTGGGGAATCCTTGCCCCCCTTGGGGAGCGCCTGGTAGAAACTTACAAACCAGAACATGAGAAGATGTCACCACGACTCAAAAACCAATTTACATGAAATAGCTTGTTATTAGCAGTTACTCTAACAAAGCCATCTGCTTGTGAACTTAAAGCCATAGGATGAGTCAATACAAACTGGGCATGCTTCTGAAATGTAAAGCATCTCGTCAAAGCTGAATAAAAGAGGCGACTTCAAACTGAGGCTCTTAGAAGCTGGAAAATGAGAAAAAAAAATTTGAAATATGCCTCCATTTTCTTACAGAAATGTAAAAGCGATATATATATATATAAATCTCCCCTAGCACTGCCATAGTCGTAGACTAAAGAAATGGAGCAGAATCAATATTTGGTCCCTTTTTGAAAGGCCCCGTTTCAGTATACACTTCGGTAATTGCTTCCAGGCTGACTTAATTAGCACCGAAGTGCTTTTCTGTCTGCTATGGGTTTACCTCGCATTTCTAAAACCACCATATGTCACCCACAGGCCACTTTAGAGGAGGAATTCACACTAAAATATTCCACAACTGTTTCATTTCACACTCTTTCCATACCTGGCATCTGACTCTTTCATTTTTCCAATGCAATCTGTCTAATGAAACATTGACTACTTCCAGGTCCTACTAGGTTGACTATGATTCAGTAGCGTCTAAGTGAGTTTGTTCCCTGCAGTAAATACAGTCATTTACATCAATAGGAGAGACATGGAATTGATTGCCTCTTACTCAAGTGTTTCAAGGGTTGTCTTTCTATTAATGGGGCAATCGCTCTGAGCGAGAGGGGTATAGACTAAACTGTTACAAACGGCATTACAAGGTAGACTACTTGAAGAGACATAAACAAGAATGTTAAAAGGTTGAAATCAAAGTCCTTGACAAATATATACATTAGTACTACTTTCCAGCCATTTAGCCTGCAATGGGATACTTCATATCCTGAAATAAGATGCCCAGTGGTCTTTTCAACAATAGCAGCAGGAACAACCTAACTTCTCCCTAGTAATTCCTTCAACTACGGGCAGTCCCAGGGCTGTGCATCCAGTCCACCCAGTCCTGCTCTGGTCCAGAGCTTTCCCAGGGAGGTAAATGCCAAATTCAGGGACCAGAGCCACCCTAATGTGTGTATTGGGTCCTGGATGTCTAAGGGTCTCTAATACAGTCAGAAATGAAAGACCCCTAGATTTGTTCTTGGGACCCAGTAAATTGGATGGATTTGGTATAGAGAATGGCAAGAGAGAATAGGGTAAACTCCTTCTACAGACATTTGTCAAATATCCAAAACCCAGAGTCCCAAACCTGCCCGAGTCTGACTTTCATCACCAGTGTTCTTAGAGCTGTACTGGGGATTCAATGACATTGGTTGATGATAGCAAGTCCCTGACAGGCAGGGGCCCAAAGACCTAGCAGCTATCTCCATAGCAGTTGTGCTCTGAGAGAACCTGGAGCGATGCACGGCTCTCAGAGACCTTCAGATTCACTCTAATGGCCACTGACACACTGCCACTCCGACGCTTCTAGTTGAGTCCGTTGTCCCCCAGCTGGCTCTCTGACACTTTCACTGTGTCATATGCTGGTGGCAGGAATGTGGAATGATTCTGACAGTGCAGCCACTCAAGAAAAATTTCAACCAGAAGGCTCCCAGTGGAGACTGCTCTTCTCTGCCCTACAGAGGCCGTGTTTACGGCCATTAGTCTCAGGCGAGGTGGTTGAAGTTTGATTATAAATTATGAAGAACAAGTTTGGGTTCATTTACATTTCCCCACATTGAGAGTATTATATGGTTTTATGCATTTCAACACCCCACCATTCCAGCCCCAAGCAATATGTATTCTAGCTTATTTTACTAGAAAAGTTCTTAGTATATCATATCTTCTTTTTTTTAACTCATAATTGACTTTATAAATCTTTGTCCTTTTGCAGGCTTGAGCCGATGACTTTTTCATTGACTTGCTTACTTTTTTTAAAAAATTTGAGTTGGGGAAAAATCAATTACTTTTAAATCACTGTTGTGCGCAAATAACATTTGTAAAGGGAATACAAAATGAAATTTCTACTTGACTAAGGCTGGAAATCAGGGTCTGAACGCTAAATCTTTTCCATTGATTTTCAATCTATCAGTTTCTAGGAGGCTATATGTGCAGCAGGTATCGAATCTGGTAGTATTTATGCAAGTTTACAAGTGTGCTATTTAATTCTCTATGCTTTCCTCCTATAAGTTAAAACTGGAAATGAACACAAAATCCAAAGTCACTGCCATTAGTAAATCCTTGGGTTAACAGAGCCCACACTGAATTGATATCAATAAAAATCATTATAACTGTAATACCGAGTATTAAATATATGACTACCATGTGCCACTCACTGGGCTGGGGGCTTTAACTCTGCCTTCGTACTTGACAAGCATTTTATTCCAGATGAAATGGATCTGAAAAAATATTTGGAACGTTTTTCTACCTTGATGGAAAAACTGGAAAACTGTCTTGCCCTCCCTTGTAAAAAATTAGACAAGTGGATGAAATATGTATTTTTAAAAAACACTTTTAAGACATTGGACAACAGGCAGAGCATGACCGTGACTGCTGAGAGAAGGGAAACAAAACAGCTGAGGACCACAGGCATCCTGGCTCTCTGCCTGGAGCCAATTTAGAGCACAAAGGTTACACTGAGCTGCGGAGAACTGGGTTTTGTGGGGGCCAAGAAAGCTGTAATTTGCAGGACAGACTACTACAGAAGATAGAGCCACTCAGAAAAAGAACATCAGAAATATGCTGTGTCCCTGAGTCGGTTACAGAATATTGTGCGTGAGTAAACAAAACTCCATGGGCCTAGCAAACAAGATGAAGGATGAACAGCTCCCAAAGCTCATGGAGGACTGGGAGGGATTTAAACTTTTACAAGTCAGAGTGTAGCTATTTTATTGATCAGCTAACACATTTGCCTTAGCAGGAAGGTAGGACTATCCCCTGAGTAAAAGCTGCTATAGACTCATCCCCCAAAAAACAAAAATGACCTTGAAAGGATAAGTCATGTTGGCAAGTAACTTACCTACTTGCCACCAAAAAAGGCCAGCACTTTGAAAAGAAAGGCAATAAATCCAATCTCTCAACAACTTAACTAACAATGACCAACATCCAATAAAAACTGTTAGACATGCAAAGAAGCAGACTCATGTAACCCATAACCAGAAGAAAAATAAGTTCTAAAGGTAAAGATCCAGAAGAAACAGATAATGGTGAGTAAACAAGGAATTTGCTCAAGATGTAAAGGAAAACATGAAAAAAAAAATAAAAGTAAAAATGGAAGATACAACAAACTGAATAGAATGTGCAGATATAAAAAATATAATATAAAATGAAAACAAAAATAGTACAGAGTGATATTAATAGATTAGATGCTGTAGAATAGAAGATTGGTAAACCTGAAAACAGAGCAATAGAAGCTACACAAACTGAAGCTCAGGAAAAAAAATGAACAGAAATCAGTGACCTGTTGGGCAATTTTCAGTAGTCTAACACAGATATAATAAGAGTCCCGGGACAGGGGAAGGAGGCATAAAATAATATTTGGTGGAAGAGTGGCTAAAATATTTTCCAAATATGATGAAAACTGTAAAACCAGATCCAAGAACTGCAAGAAACCCCAGGCAGGATGAATACCAACAAAATCACATCAAGGCACATCATAATCAATTTGTTAAAACCCAGCAGTAAAGGAAAAATTCTAAAAACAGCCAGAGTGATGGAAAAAACAGTGGAATATTGCTTCCAAAGAGGTGGCATATTTTTCCTATTTCTCCAACTAGGTACAAGCAAAAACCCTGGACATTATATATAAAATAAGCATGAGGAGATTCTGAGAGGTCAAGAGACAGACAGACAGACTGGCTAGGAACCTCAGGATCCAAGGAGCAACGTGACAGTGAACACCCTGAGTTTTTATAGTCCAGACTAGGTGCTGGAGAAGCCAGCAACCCAGAAATGTCAAAAGGTGTGTGTGGGGGGGAGGGGGGAAGCCCCAACTATATAACACTTAGAGCTAATCCATGGGTCAAAGAGAAAAATCTAAGGGAACCTAAAAAACAAACAAAAACATTGAATTAAATGAAAATGAAAACACGACATAAAATCTGTGGGACAAAGCCAAAGAAATATTGAGGGAGTAATTTATAGCACACAGAAAACATACATCAGAAATGAGGAAAATCAGTCATATCAGGTCCCACCTAAAGAACATAGAAAGTAAGAGCAACTTAAACCCAAACTGAAAAAATCAGTCTCATAAGGTAAATGCGACATTGGATTGTGTATCTAATTATGTAACAATGATCTGCCCAATTCACTCCACTCAGCCAGGGAGGGAGCTTCTGAGCACTCAACAGCTGGCCAAGAGAAAGTCCTGCTAAACCTCAGGTATAAAGAAAGAGTATTTGGTTCCAAGGTAGCAATGCCAAGAGCAGAAGCAGATTGTCCCTTCATGGTGGTCGTCAGCACTTCATCAGCCCCTCCTATGGAACACTAGTTCTCAGAACACAATGGGTTCTTTTTTTACGGGAAAAAGAAGGTTCGCTGGTTAAATATAGTTGGAAAATAAAGGCAGATCAGATTCTTGACTGTGCGACCTCTCGGAGCCTTCAGCTTGCAGACACCCTTATGAATCTCCACGTGGCATGTACCATGTCCCAGGTTTATTTGGCCACAGACACTTTTTCCGTGAAGCATCTCATGGGACCCGTGTTCTGTAAAGCACATTAACAGCGCAGCTCTCCAGACAACTTGGGGAGCTATTCTGTGGTCCTCCACAGTGTAAAAGATTGCCAGGCCCGAATAGAAATAGACATCTGTTGTTTTCCAACACCAGTGAGTGTGAGTGATAAAATCACACTGGAAATGCCCCACTGCTCCTGCGATCAGAATGAGTGCCAAGAAGAAATGCCCAGGGCTGGGGGAGTTCAGGCCTGGCGAGCAGAGGGCACTGGAAGGCAGGAGGCAGGAGAGAGACTATTACCAAGAAGAGCCTGGCGTGGGCTGTCCACGATCAAGCAGGTAGGGGGCCAGCACGATCCTGGGAAGGCCAGACGGGGCCACTCAGTCCTGATGATCAAGTTAAGGGCTTTGACCTTTTTCTTAAAATGATGAAATGTCAACAGGCAATTTTTAAGCAGGGAACAAGAAGATTGGATCTTGTTTGTATAACGTCGCCACAGGGTAGAGAACGCATGAGGGGTGGAGGGGAACTTCCTAGGGGCGGGGAGGGGCCCACCTGGTGCAGGCAGGACAGGAGGGCAGCCTGGCGTCGGCTCTGGAAAGAACTGGGAGGCTCCAGGAGGTTTTAGGGCCCCTTGGTGGCCGGATGCAGGCAAGGGGAAGACGAGGGGACCAAATGAGTCCCCGGGTTTTGTCCAGGACAGCTAGAGGTGGCAGTAACTGCATGTAATGGGCTAGCAAATATTTAAAAGAAGAAAAGAGAAGCCTGTAAGTTTGAGGTGTCTGTGAGGTATGTCCAAGAGTAAATGCTGAGTAGGCAGCTGGAGGTTTGCTGAATATTCTGGGGAAGAGATTGCCTTTTATTTCCCATAAGATACCAAGATAAATTTCAAATGGATTAAACATTTGCATGCACAAAATTAACTCATGGGTGACTGGAATAATGTAAGGATATTTATAAAAGCATGATACATAGGATCTTTCTAGCATAAAACAAGAAAAAAATCAAGATTTAATAATATAAATTTAAATATGGTATATGAAAAACAATGCCTCTTGTATACATTTAAAAGGCAAATAACAGTGGAAAAATATTTATACCCTACAGCAGATAAAACGTGTAATACTTATTATAAAGGGCTGTTCCAAATCAAGGATGAAGATGGACATGAATAGAAAGTTCATTTAAAAAGAGACAGCCTGGCTGGGCGTGGCTCAGCAGTTGAGCATCAACAGAGGATCCAGGAGATTCCCGGGCACACGCCCAGGTTGCGGGCTCGATCCCCAGTCGGGGGCGTGCAGGAGGCAGCGGACCAATGACTCTCTCATCATTGATGTTTCTCTCTCTCTCTCTCCCTCTCCCTTCCTCTCTCTGAAATCAATAAAGATATATTTAATAATAATAATAAAAATAATATTTTTTTTAAAAAAGAAGCACAAATGACCATAAATATATTTTAAAAGTATTCGACCTCACTAGAAATCAAAGACCTACAAATTCAAACAACCCTGAAAAGCATTTTGGCCACCAGAACGATGGGCCTCAGTACTTGTATGAAGACGAAGAAACAGATGCTGTGCACTCTTGGGAGGAGAGAACGTCGCTGCAATGCTTTCTCCTGTAAACAGTGTGGAAATATGTCAGTACTCTCCTGCACCCCGTGATCCCGGGCCTGGGAGATTAGCTCAGAGAAAAACCATATAACTATACAAAGATGTACATACAAGAATATTCATTGCAGTGTTGTTTATAACAGGGAATATTTCTCAAAAAAGTTCGCTCCCCAAAAGCTGAATTAACAATGGGTTAAAAAAACCAAGCATGATATTTCATATAATGAACTAAAGGGCAGCCAGTAAAAATGATAAAACAGAAGTGTATTTCTTAATGTGGAAATAGTTATGATATACATATTTTTAAGTGAGAAGGAAGTGACAAAGTGTGAGCAGTATGATTCCTTTTATGTTCAAATACATGTACATGTTATATCAAGAAGTTAGCAACCGTTAGCTCCTAGCAGAGGAGTTTTAAGTGGTAGGGTTTTTTCCCTATAACACAATATTTTCTAATATTTCTTCCATGCTTTTTATGATGTGTGGGATAAAAATATCTGGAAAAAATAGAATGCCTCAATATTATTTTTGCATCTATTGATGAGTATAACTGTCTGTGTGTGTGTTTATAAGCCAGTCAGCAAAACAAAACCATCTGCTTGTGATTTTCTGGTGTGACCCCACTCCTCAGTCCCAGGAAAAGCCAAAAGGAAAACACAGGATGTGACACTGATAAATACAGAGACGATCAGAAGCTGCTTCTCCACATCTTGCCATTGGCATCTTCCCCAGAAGCACACATGAGACTCCCCAGGGATGGACCGGGGACCCAGATGCTGGGAAATTCTCCAGGGCTTAGGAGGTGGCCATGGTGGCTCAGCAGGGGAGAGGTGAGCATGCATAGTGCTCTCCAGCCAATAACAACATGTTTTCCTGCAGCTTAAGTACCCATCTGCTTCTACAGGCTCCTTCTAGGTCAACCTTTTCCAATCTGTAAACCAGAGAGACTCTGGTGCTTTGGTAGGTTGAGCCAAGCTCTGAAAACAGACTTGCCCTGCCCTCTCCATTCCAGGATTCCTGGGCTCTGCTGGCAAAGCAAAGGATGGAATCTTCTCTACCCCAGAGGTTCGTGGTTCCTTTTGAGAAACTGGTGAAGATTTGGGGGCCTCTCCTCAGCAGATACGCATTCCCAGAAGCCCATAAGGAGTGGCTTAGAAGGAGCCCAGATAAGAGTGGGTCCCCTAGTCCAGAAACAACTCTTCCCACTCATAGTTCAGTGGCCACCAAGGCTCCTTTGAACCTGCCCTTGTCGTCCCCACCTGCTTTCGCTGGGCCATTTCCCCCCCCCCCCC